AAACCAGTGTAAATCCCAAACCAGTGTAAACCCAAACCAGTTTAAACCCAAAGCAATCATAACCACAATCTGTGTAAAATTTACCCTACTCGGTTAAAAGAATTAAAAAAAAATTTTTATAAACACTTTATGTATTTCCATATATCCATTATGCCTTCATGAAATTCACTAAATGAATGACAAATTGGATCAAAATGAATTTGTTATTTTCATTTATAACAATTTAGCATGAATTTTCAAAAGAGTGACTAAATTTAAATTTGAATGACTAAATGCATGACAGTAAGCAATAGTGGTGATAATGCAAATTAAATGTAGAAAATTCTTGCAGAAATGAATATACATGTACCTGATGTGTTCTAACTTGGTGATGTTGCGTTTCCATGGATATGATAACCGCTCAGTGAATGCATTGATCACTTTCATGTTGCCGTAATCATAAGAAGTGACGTTCCCAGTTGTGCCATTCACCACTTTTCCTTTTGTACTGCAGTGAAGAAGAAATTATATTTATATCTATTTATCCCTGCCAAAAAGTCAGAAAAAAAATACATTGACAGTTAACAAAAAATCTACATAATTATAAATAGATTTTACCGGTAAATACTGTCACTACTAGAAATATGTATGTGCTAAAAATATCGAAGCTTTCAAGAATATGCAAGTAGCATTCAAGCCTACTTGATTACTATATGTAGTGGCCCTTTGCTTTAAAGCGGGAGGGTCGTCACCTGCGCGTGCACGGGGATTGAGTCCCAAGTGACGATAACACACGCTAAAAATGCAAAGGCTCATGGGTAGACACTTGTTTGTAAACAATGACATGCTATGGCCATCTGACGCGTGCACAGGTGACGCCTCCCCTGCTTTAAGTATTAGTAAAAGTCACTAGGGCCTAGAACTATATATCTGATCATTTATTAGGATTAAGGTTCAGACAAAAAAGAAGTTAATACATAAAAATTGACCTGTGATTCAGACATTCTCTAGAAGTTACTAAGGATGCTACTATAGCAACCAATACATCATCTAAAAGAATTATTTATAGTCTTTTCTATTGCAATAAATATTTACTGACATTGCGGAAAGTTGTGTTGGCAAACAACTGGAAATGTGTGATGAATGGATTTACTGAATTTGCATATGCACGGTTGGGTATTGTCTGTGGAGTCTTTGACACCATCTTTCATATCCTAGGTGCATGATTAGAAATGGATAGAGGTGGCAATATTTTTGTACCAGTTTGTATTTTGATTACATTAACCTTTAAAATAACATGAAAGATAAACTCTGAAAAGCTTCCGTGAATGCAAAATACATAATCACTGTAAGTTTTTTTTTATAAAAACACATCTAGGAAATAAGTATTCCCGACAGTCAGTGAAAGAGTAATAGCATTAGAGGGTCATCAGCCAACAGATGTCCAGCATCAATAAAAAGCAAATTTGATCAATCTGTTCTGGAGTTTTTGCAAACACTGAATGAAATATGCAAATAAGCTATTTAATATGCACAGATATGGCGCCCAAAACTTACCCTATGGTACCTAATGTACTAAATTTGATAAAATGAAAATTTCAACACGCATCTATGTATCAAATTTTCTTTGAAATCTGTTAAAAAGTTCTCGAGAAAAAAGTATAAAGGCTTGCAAAATGGCTAATCAATATGCTAACTAATCAGGTCATAGAAATATGTTAAGTACATGTACTTTTTGAGTAAAAACTGAAAAAGGGTGAATTTAGCTAATTATTATGAAAATTAGGTCATTAATAAGAAGGAATTTCAAGCAAAATTTAATCAGGTCTGTACATTATCCGATACTATGGTATAAAGTTTCATTGCAATCAGTTAAAAAGTTCTTGAAAATGAGTGAAAATGCTTAAATTCAACTAATTAATATGCAAACCAGCAAATTAATATGCAACAATTTATAATCAAAACTAATCAGGTCTTAGCATTATCCTGAGCGTCTATGTAATAAGTTAAATACTGATGATAATAACACACTGTCAGCATCCTTTATTTTATGTTTTTGCCATATTACCTCAAACCCTGCAAATAGAAGTATGCATGGAATCATGGGAAGAAACGATGTGTATTGCTGTGTGAAAACTGTCATAAAGGAGAATTGAAATCTACCAGGTGTGCTGTTATTTGAATAACAAAGGATGTTTATGATCTACTGAGTTGCCTACGTGACACAGGAGCTAGTACACATTCTGATTGGTTCATGTGGAAACCCAGATGGTGTCACTGAATCACGCTTATAAATTAGACAGACTGAGGACAGTAAGGGTCCATCATTTCAATTTGGTATCCAGTGTACATGTGTGCTGCTACGATATTGTGTGACAGGCTACAACCATCATTCTGTGAGACTTGTATGAACTGCTCTTCGATCTCCTGCTTTCAGCGGTGCCCTCCAGACTACTAGCGTTTGTTGCACAAGCCATTGACTGTCGTCCATTATTACATCCTGGAACTGTGAGTTATCACCAATGCACACTTTCCTAAGCCATCTCCTATTTTAGTGACTTTATTCATTGTATTTTTCTGTGCTTTATTTCTTGTAATTATTTTGAGAGGTATTAAAGCCAGGAGCTTTAACTCAATATTTTGGTGTATGTGTATTTCATTTCATTTCCAGTACTATTGTCTTGTCTACCCCATTCTAGCAGTAAAAGAACCCCCTCTCCAGTGTGAGTTCTGTGGGTGGCCCTCTCAATTGCGATAAGCAGGCCTTACATTGTGACATTTTGATGTCAGAAGTGAGATTGTGATTCTGATTCGGATTGTGAGTCTGATTTGGATTTTATTGTCAGTAATCCCTTGACTAAATTGACTGTTTGGTAACTGCTCAGGTCTAGAGAACACTGTGTTGTCAGACCATCTTCTACTGCTAGGTAGACATTAAATTGCTTTATTTAATACTACTGGAACTTTATTTACACCTTTTAAAGCAAGGATATTGATAATGAACTTAAAGAGTTAGGTAGAGTTTTGGGGTATGATGGGGAAGAGCTGACTGAATTTGTGAGGGCAGAGTGTGAGAAAAAAAGAGCGCGAGGAGAGGGGTCGAGAGAGCAGCCAAACGCGAGGCTGAAAGGTTGAAGCGTGAGGAAAGAGACAGAGAACGCGAGGCTGAAAGGTTAGACATATGTACATGCATACAATGACACACACACAGGCTTCCATTGTATGCTTCAAACACTGAAGTCAAAAATACACAGCTGCACAATTCATTGTACAACATGGTGAGCATTTCAATTAATTACAAGATTCAGTATACACCAATGTTGTTATTAGACATATGACGATCTAATTAATTGAACCCATTCTGACTATTTACACCACTTTTCGGTCACGTGATCTATTGTTCTACCACTACTCTTGTTTCGGCATTTATGTTAAATATGCATTAATAACATAGGAAAATTAATAAAAAATTAATTTTTAATATTTTTTTTCAAACCTGAGGATAAATAATAAACAGCTAATGCATCATTATTAATTTAAGTTTTCATTTTTACCATACTCGGCCACGTTAGCGCCCAGTGTCCTCACCTCAGAAAATCATAATTTTTTTTTAGGGGTGAGCGCTTACCCAAGCACCCCCCTTCAGAAAAGAGAGAAAATTGTAATTTTAGTTCCCCATGTGGCAGATTGAAGAGGATATTACGACTTTGGATGGGGGAAAATAAAATTACGAAATTAGTTGCGTCATCATTGATATTTACAATGAAGAAACAGAAATGTCACAAAAAATATGTACATTTTATTAATTAAAAATATTAATTACGTAAATTGAACCACCTGAATTTAAATTTTAAAAATATTAGAGTCTGTTGGTAATACATTGTTTTCTTTTCACATGAATGCAAAAAATGTTGAAATATAACAATACTTTATCATGTAAAACATTTTGAAGTGAAAGAACAGATGGTGACCAGATGGCATTACAGTAAGAACTCTGGGAAATAAAATTTTTCATACAATGAAATACAATTTTGAAATCAAATTGTATGATTAAATTTCTACAGATTGTTGTCTAAATGTCATCAATTGAGACACGTATTCAGAACAGTGAAAGGAGGGGTCACAGGCTACAGATAATGTTATGTTAGGACGCAAGAATTGGGGCTGTTTTTTTTATTAGTTATTGTGCCTTGAGCTTTATTTTTGAAAAATGTGCGAGTCTCTTGAATGAATGAACAATTTTACCCAAAAAAAAACAGGATCAATTATGAATACTGTGTTCAATGTGCATCGTTTACATATTTAAAGTGATTTCGTTAATTTATAACTTTATTTATTAATTCAAGGAGGTATACAGTTAAGTAGATAATTGTTCAGTTATTTTATTATTCAGATCTATTTCTTTTTTCATTGGGATTTCTAATATTTGTTATGGAACCCATCAGTTCCATCAGTTGCAACAGAGAAGTATAAGCAAATAAATTATTATTAATCTTAGTGTACATCCATATTATGACAATAGTTATAGAGTCAACATTTAGCGTCTATGTTTAGCGGGAACAATTGTAGGTTAATGCGCGGTGGTCGACGCGCAGCACGTGTTCGAATTTCATGTAAATAAACAATGTATTTTGCACACATTGTATACGTCGCTATGAGTCTTGTATCAAACAGAATGTGGCTCAACGAATGCCGCTACTGTCAAATACTTTATTTTTGTTTGCAATGAATTTTCGCTATTTTTGTTGAAGGGCCGTTTCAGTGAAAATAAAATCCAGTGAATATACCTTTTGTCCAATATTCTACATCAAAAATCAGTGAAAATAAATTCCATACAAAACACCTAAAAAGCCTCATCAGTGAAAATTAATTGCAGCGAAAATAAAGTATTTTACTGTACTTTATTCTCGTTTGGAATTAACTTCTGCTATTTTTGCTGAAGGAATAATTCAGTGAAAATAAAATCCAGCAAATATTATCTATTTTTCTTTATTCTACATTCAACTCAACAAAAATCAGTGAAAATGTCTTTTCAGTGAAAATTAATTCCAGCTAAATTACGGGTATTTTACAGTACATGTATAATGAAAAATATAATTGTCATAATTTCTAATGTTGCGAAAATACTAACTACAAATTAACACAAATGTTAATTTCTCCTTTTATTTAGGCAATAATTAGCAATTAGTTATGATTTAATTAGCAGTGATTACCATCAGTGATCCATGTATTGTTTTCAAGTAAGAGGGAAAAAAACAGAAATCTGAGATATCCCTGAAATATTGAAAAGGCAGTATCTGCCCATGGTAACGGTTCTATTTATAAGTGAATTATTAAATATTAATACTTACTCATATTGCTGGTATCACATTGTATTCTAGCAATTGTTTTATTAAAAATTATTATAAAATGTTGAAATTTTACTGCTAGAAATGTTAAAATTTTTCATAATTTGAGTGGATTTACCAAAAATCATGAAAACTCCATACTTCATTTTCACTATTTTTG